TCATCAGTGGCATTTGGTTCCTAAAATGATAAATAAAATAAATCCGTCAGTCTCACCAGTATGCTGGAGGTGCAATCAAGCTATGGGTAGCTCGAAGTACATATGGTGGGACTGCCTTCTTTTAATTCCCCTGTGGAGTAGGGATCTTGGAAGAACTAGCTACATTAGTGGGCCAGGACTTAGGGAACAACTTTCAAGTCGTTATGTTCTATTTTAATTTATCTGATATACCTCTGCGAAAAAGATACTTATTAATGTACTGTGTGTATTTTGTAAGTGTGTATTAATGTACTGTGTGTATTTAGTAAAAATAAAAATGCAATGAATAATAAATGAAAAAATTTTTTTTTCAAAAATGTACAGCATAGATGAATTCTTTAAATTTTTGGAACAAGCCTTTCCAGCAAGTATGTAAAAAATATGTAAGAGAGCAAGGGAAAAACTTGTATAACGACACAACAGTTCTAGGGGAGGGAGAAAGAACAGTGAAGGAGGTCAATCTTGGGGAGGAGGGTGCAACAAGCAGAAGTGCTCTGGGTCAAGAGACTCACAATATGGTGAACTGAGAGATGCTGTCCCAAGATAAAGGCTCACGGAGAAGATCTTCATTTAAATGTCTAAGCATTACCCCCTTTTCTGTGTATCTATTGGTCATGGACTGGATGTGTTTTTAATGTGTATTGTGTATTTTCTTTTATGTAAGAGTAACCAAAGTCAATATTAATAATACATTTTTCTATACACTTGTATTTGTGTCTGGTTTGTCTCACATTCCCTAAAGCATAACCTTGTAAGCGGGTCATAATTTCTTACAAAGGGAGTAGTAGATATCTTATTCCTCACCATAACGTCCTGCTTACTGATAACGGGCCTCTATATGTCTTTCTCCATGCACAGATAAACCATACCCCCAAAGTATCAAAAGCTTCACTAAGCTAAACAACCAGGAAGTAACAGGTTTTATGATTGACAGTCAAGGGGCTGTAACAAGGCTGTAAAAAGGTTATAGAAGTGTTAAATTCCATGGAAATCAGCAAACCCTTCACACATAAACACTTTAGGGGTCTGGAATGTGCCTTTAAGGAACAAACTTCTGGAATAAAAGGGAATCATGACATGTCACACATGGACTAATGAAAGTATTTAGAAAATTGGGCAGACTAGATAGGCCGAATGGTTCTTATCTGCCGTCACATTCTATGTTTCTATGTTTCTATGTTTCATGTGTCCTTAAGGGGTTAAGGTAAATAGCTAGTATATTTATTTAAAACCAAACTAATTTTATTTACAGAATTCCATAAAAGGACATTTTAGAAAATCTGAAATTGTAGATGCTTGATCCAAGGAGATATCTGACTGCCATTTTGGGCTCAAGAAATAATTTTTTCCTAGTTTGTTGCAAAATTGAAAGCGCTTCAGACTGTTTTTTTTTTGCCTTCTTTTGGGTCAACAACAAAAACATACATGTGGAAGGATGAACTTGATGGACACAAGTCTCTTTTCAGCTATGTAACTATGTAATACAAAGTTAGATCAACAACAAAACTGAATTTTTGCATATAGATATCCATAAACTTAGAAATTAGGTCAAAACCTAATAGCCTAATAAAAAAAAAAAATCATTTTATACATTGTAATTGCAAGTGAAACTAGATAAGTACTAGATTAATAAAGTAAGATGAAGCATGCAAGAAGAATACATATTATATGTTGGATGTCATTGTGATTTTCTAAATGTTTTTTTATTTTTCATATTATTGAGTATTTCTGATTGGCTTAGAGGAGAATTAGCAACCAGAAGTTGCATAAAAAAGAGTAATTGTACTTTAATGACAAATTGCTAGCACTTAATTGGTATTATGTGAGACCTCTGCCAAATGCCAATGTTCAATAAATGTAACATGCAATCTTGAAGTTTCTCAGTAACAAACAGAACCCAGTAACACATTCTTTCTCTCTCTCTCTCTCTGTCTGCAGGATTTGGTAGCCTGGATAACAGCTGGATTCCTTCATATTCCACATTCAGAAGACCTGCCTAATACAGCCACTCCTGGAAATGGTGTGGGGTTCTTTCTAAGGCCTTACAACTACTTTGATTCGGATCCTTCAACCTATTCTTCAGACAGTGTTTACTTCCGTAGTGAGGATGACTACACCTCATGTGAGGTCAATCAAGCTGCTTGCTTGTCTAAGACAGCCTCCTGCACTCCTAACATACCTCATTTCACTTATGAAGGTTTTCGCTATGTAGTAAATTTATAGTAAACATATAGATAAATGCATGTTGTCTGTGGAAGCATTTCATACATTAACATTCTTGATTTTTTTAGGAGGCTTGCTGAGTTCAAATCTGTTTCATGGGCATTAGCATGCCAATGACTCTTTCCAAGCATCCTTTATTATTATCCTATTGGTATGTAACCATTACCGCATAATATGCAAGTTATATACAACTAAAATGGCAATTATTAGACTTGTGCATGGTGAAAACCAATTAATCTAATACTGAAAAACAAAAACAAATTCAGAATGGCAAAAAAAGTCCATGACATGGTTTGGCTTGGCAGAATTTCAACTGGAAAACTGGTGCCTATCAATGAGCTGCCATGCGAAAATGGCTACAATATTGCCTGACCAAATTGCTATACAATATCAGGTATTTTTGCAATGCCAATTATTATCCATTATTAGTTTATTATATATCGACATTAAAAAAGATATAGGTAGTGAGAGAAATTGTAATAGTTTCATTTTTGCTATCTTGTATTGTATCATGTTTCTTATAATGAGGAATAAGAGTCATTTTTAGTTGAACAGGAAACATCATTGGACAGTTTTCTACTTATCCAGTCTGTAGCATCAGTTTCTATCAACTGCATCACCTGCATGGAGGTAGCAGGCACCACAAGACTCAATTAGGCAGGGCAAACTCACTACAATGAAAGACATTTTAAAAAAGTGAGGGGCAGCAGAAGTAATTTAATTCCCCCCCCCCCTTTTTTTTTTATAATGTGAGTGAACAAACCTGTCCCAAACCGGCATCATTGTGGGTCAAAGCTTTTGTCATATAACCAAATGGAATAATACCAGACGCAAGCTGCCCCATTAACAATAATAGGGCAGCTAGCGTCTGTTATTATTCCATTTGGGAGTCAAAAAGGAGTAAACACCAGTGGAGTGGTTGGAATATAGATTGGATTTCTCTCTGCTATTCCAAAATTCTTTCCACCATGTCTAAAGTAGAGATCCACCATGTGCTGAAATGGCAAGAAAGGAAAGAAAATCGTGCAGGCCAGTAGGAGCTCTCCATAAATCTGGGCAAGCCGTGGGTGATTTTGTTAGGTTGCCACTTTGTTATGGCCATGTAAGGAAATTTTACAAAATGTTCAAGAGTGGGCTGGTGGGCACAACCCTGGGCTAATGAGGAGTTCAACTGTCCCTAACCATACAGCCTCTATAGACATCTGGCACTAACTTCCACATCACCCCTTCTCTGCTCTAGGCTGGTAATAGTCAAAGAGGTACTGATGCTGCTGTTGCTCCCCTCTTTAAGATACCTGGCTTTTGTTTCATCCTGCTTTTTGTTTGTGTTGCAAAACAGGTTGGTGCTTGGTAGATTCACTACTGTAACATTATGTTTCACTTTAAGGAACACTGCATGGTGTTCGCACACACTAGTCTGAACACACTCAGAAATATTTTTAAAATGTTTTTCTTTCTCCAAACACAAAAAGAAAACCGTCAAACTGTAGATTAATAGAGTTCCAAAGTGTTTTTATTTTTTTGCTTTTTATCGAACAACACCCTTTCAAAATTATTTTCTTTCTCATATAAACTTTTAAAAATTGTAAATTGTTAACCTAGTCTCACACTAGGATCAAAAACACAATGGCAATCTAATAACAACTTAAGGTTTTTTTAAATGCAGCTGACTGGTAGCATGTTAAACATTGTCTCACATAATGACCAGTGACACAAGTCCTGTCTCCAAATCAAAGTTATTTTAAAGGGACTCTCCAGTGCCAGGAAAACAACCTGGTTGCTGAAGGGGTGAAAACCCCTTCAGTCACTTACCAAAGGCAGCGACGATGTCCCTCATCACTGATCCTTCCTCCGCCGCCACTCCTCCCCTTCATTACGTCAGCCAACGGGGGAGACTAATCACGCCCGCTGGCTGGGGAAACCTAATGTGCATGCACAGCAATGCCACGCACGCGCATTAGACCTCTCCATAGGAAAGCATTGAAAATGCTTTTCAGTGCTTTCCTATGGGGATTTTAGCAACACTGGAAGTCCTCACATAGTGCTACAATCCTGGAAATGCCCTCTAGTGGCTGTCTAGTAAACAGCCACTAGAGGAGGAGTTAACCCTGCAATGTAATTATTGCAGTTTATGAAAACTGCAATAATTACAGTAGCAGGGTTAAGGGTAGTGGGAGTTGGCACCCAGACCACTCCAATGGGCAGAAGTGGTCTGGGTGCCTGGAGTGACCCATTAAGTTCATCATATTAGTAGCTTTCTAGGTAAACACAGCAGTAAAGTTTTACACTAGAATCAATGACCCAGGCTATCTCCTACTCCCAAACAAGTACAGCAATGGTAAGACACACAGTACCACTGCTGATTAGTGATGTCCCGAACGGTTCTCCGAACGGTTCGCTGCGGACGGCGAACATATGCGCTGTTCGGTCCGCCCCCTATTCGTCATCATTGAGTAAACTTTGACTTGTGCGGTTCGCCGCAGACGGCCAACATATGCGCTGTTTGGTCCGCCTCCTATGTCATCATTGAGTAAACTTTGACCCTGTGCCTCACAGTCAGCAGACACATTCCAGCCAATCAGCAGCAGACCCTCCCTCTTAGACCCTTCCACCTCCTGGACAGCTCACTAAGAATGCAGCTTCACAATGAATGTAAAATGGATGCTGTCCAGGAGATGGGAGGGTCTGGGAGGGAGGGTCTGCTGCTGATTGGCTGGAATGTGTCTGCTGACTGTGAGGTACAGGGTCAAAGTTTACTCAATGATGACATAGGAGGCGGACCAAACAGCGCATATGTTGGCCGTCCGCGTCAAACCGTTCGGAGAACCGTTCGGGACATCACTACTGCTGATCTGTCTCCCTCAATAGCTGCAGTCAAAGTGTCATTTGTTTTAGTGTGCCTCCTTTTTCCTTCTGTTGGTCAGTTGTCATTTGTCTTGTGAATAAAATAGTGTCTCTCCCCTAACCATCAATCATATTTTTTCCTTTTACCTTCATGTTGATTGGATAGGAATTGCAGGCCACATCATTGGGATGATCTTAATTTGGTGGGGGCAAACTAAGATGCCTACTTGCTCCCATCAAACAAACGAAACAAAAAACCACAGCCTCTTCTCCATTACATCCTATTTTTTTCCTGGCAACAGAAATGGCAGTCTAAAACACAAATCAAAACAAGCATGCTAAGGCTAGCACAAGCTGGTTTACCTGACACTGTGACACATGGTGAACTGGAAATTTCTATACATTTTTTATTGAAAAGATTAGAATACAATGTTTTCCAAATTATCTAGTTATTAGATATAGTAAACGTACAGTTCCAAACATCATTAAAGGAGAAAATGAAAATTCAATATTTCATAAAAAAAGGTTCCACCCTAGATATGCAGTATGACATCCAGAAGAGAAAAAAGAAAGAAAAAAAGAGTATTTTATTCAACTCCATTCATACTCTGTCGTAGTATTAAGATGTAAGAGGGAGAGAGAAGAGGAAGGTTCAGATTGCAAGTCCTATAAAATAATTACAATTAGTTCTATCTCTATACTGCCTCCATGGAGTCTATATCTCCATATGTTTATCAAACTGTACCTTTCATTGAAAAAGCCTGCCTCCATTCTATGTTGAAAGTCAAATTGTTGTAATATTACCGGCTGTAGTGGTTTACCTTTAATTTTCCAATTACATGCCATGCATATTTTTAAGTTTTTATGAGTTTGTTCAGAACTTTTGTTGGAGTTTGATTTGGAGCATATAAATTAATGATTGTGTAAAATATATAATTATTTTTTGCTATCAGGATTAAATATCACCCTTTGTCATCTTTCTACATATATTTGCTCAAATTTCATTCCTTTCAATAAAATTATAAGTACCCATCTTTATTTTGCATATTTCCAAAGCCTAATTGCTGAATCTTTCCAATAGGTTTCCTGTATTAAAGCTATGTCAATTTTATTCTTCTTTAAAAGTCCATGTTCATGGAGACCAGGTTTACAGACATAATAAACAAACAGGTTCATCCCTTTATTCCCCTTTCCTGTCCAGGACCATTCTCAACCACTCATACCACCATTCCACCATTCATTCCTATCACTAGTCCCACCAGGAACCACTGGGAGGTGGCATTCATCCATTAAACAAAAAACAAAAACTCTACCTTAGGTGAATTTGTGTTTAGACCTGCAGCCACCACAGGACACAGTAAACCCTCTGACCATTTCATAGAAATGTTTCTTCTGAATCATTAACTAAGGGAGGAGGAGAAAAAATAAAATGTAAAATGGGTTTATATATGTGTTTTTCGGTGGGCAGAACCACCTATCCACCAGAATGACATGATCTCAAAAATAGATTGTGATGACAGATAAGAACCATTCATCCCATCTAGCCTACCCAATTTCCTAAATACTTTAATTAGTCCCTGGACTTATCTTAAGTCTAGGATAGCCTTATGCCTTCTCCTTCTTTTTCCCCCCCAAAAAAACAAAAAAATGGAAAGAAATATTTACAAATAGAAGAGTATAGATTAAGCTCTAAAAGACAACTATACATAGAATTGTAAGCAGGCAGCAAACACTGGTAGTAAGGGATACCCTCAGCCACTTACTGATTAATATAGAGCACGATAATACAGGTTGTGCCAAAATAAAAAGTCCAATAGATTATCAGATGCTTGGAGTATTCTTTACTTGTAAGTCGTCTATGTTTCTGATTATGGCAGGTATATGAAAAAGAAAGAATAAAGATAGACGGCAATAGTGCACAGTATCTAGTACCAAGTGCAGAACAAACAACAAAGAGGTCTAAGATGTAGCACTCACATTTATTGAGCTATAAAACCAGCTCAGAGTATAACAGCGTATAATCCCCACTGATGGATTTGTTGTTCTAGGAGTCATAGAAACATAGAAACATAGAATGTGACGGCAGATAAGAACCATTCGGCCCATCTAGTCAGTCACTAGGCATGTGTGGCAGGGCCTGATTAAGAGCCCATTGGGCCTGGTGCTGACAATTATGATGGGCCTAATTACAGAATCTTATCGACCAAAAACACTAAAACCGTCATCCCTCCCAAGCGTCTGATGAAGATGATGTTGGAGGGAAACTCAAAGGATGCAGCTACAACAAAACACATACTCTATGCTAATCTCTCTCTAATTTATGCTTTCATCTTTCAAGTAAATCCATACCCCCTAACAGCAGTGTCCAGTGAAGCAGGAATGGGCGGGGTGGTGAGCCACTGATTCAAATCACGTGACCAGAACTGCGAAAAGGTGCGAACATGCCCAAAAAAGGGGGCATGTCTGTCCAGAGAATTGGAAGGCCAGCCTGGCATCAGTGTACCTATGTCACCCAGTCCCCTAGTCTCCCAGTGTCTCAGTGTCCCCATGTCTCAGTGCGTCCCGTGTCACTAGGATACTAGGGGACACTGAGAGTCATGGGGACACAGTGAGACATGGGGACACTGAGAGACCCAGGGACACTGAGACACTTGGGGACACTGGGAGACATGGGGACACTGAGAGAAATGGGGACACAGACACATGGGGACACAGACACTGGGATACATGGGAGCAATGATACATTTGGGGACACTAAGACGCTAGGGACACTGAGAGACATGGGAACACAGACACTGGGAGACATGGGGACACTGAGACACTAGGGACACTGGCTGGGAGGCATGGGGACACTTAGACACTAGGAACACTGGCTGGGAGACATGTGAACACTGGGAGACATGGGGACACAGACATTTGGGACACTGTGAGCCATGGGGACATTGAGACACTAGGGGACACTGGGAGCCATGGGGACAAAGACATTTGGGGACACTGGGAGACATGGGGACACTGAGACACTAGGGACACAGACACTAGGGACACTGGCGGGGAGACATGGGGACACTGGGAGACATGGAGACACTGTGTCCCTAGTGTCTCCGTGTCCAAATGTGTCTCCCAATGTCCCTATGTCTCACAGCGTCCCCATTTATCTCAGCGTCCCCATGTCTCACAGTGTCCCCTAGTGTCTCAGTGTCCCCAGGTCTCCCAGTGTCCCCTATTGTTTCAGTGTCCCCTAGTGTCTCAGTGTCCCCATGTCTTCCTGCTGCCTTTCCCCTCATCCCTCACTTCCATGAGCTGAATATCTGCATTTGTATTGCCAGTATTACTGCAATGCCAGCACATCTAGGCAGCCTCAAATACCAGCTGTGCTGGTAAAATACCAGTCAGGTGGCAAACCTAAGAGTAGGTTTTTTTTTGTTTTTTTAAATGGGCCTATTCCATGGGCCTGGGCCTAGAGCTGCAGCTCCATCAGACCCTATGTTAATCCGGCCCTGCATGTAAGTGATATATACAAAGATATAAAAGGCAAAAACTAGTGCTCTCTGTAAAGCTGCACACTAGTATGCATAAGGTAAAAGCAATTTACTCACATTTGCTAAGGTATTAACGCTTGGTGGTACAATCCCCACCAGGGATAGAGTAGCTCCTCCAAAGGGTAGTCCTTCCAGAATACAGATAGCAGGTAGTCAATGGTGTAATAGATATGCCACACAAAAAAAAACTTAAAAGCATTAAAATATATTAAATGGTCAGTCACATAAATTAAGTGAATGCCAAATATCTTTAATGCTTAAAAATAACTAGTATAAAATAGCAATATAAAATAACACAACACGTTTTGTCTACTAAGAACTTTCTCAAATGTAAAGAGAGAGGCCTGACACTTTGGGGTTTATATACAGGGCCGCATTAACTGGAAGAAAGAAGATTTCGTCTAAGGCAAAGGAAAGGTTTTTTTACTTTAAGAACAATAAGGATGTGAAATTCTCTGCCTGAAGAAGGGGGTTTATCAGAGTCCATACAGATCTTCAAACAGCTACTAGATGCATATTTGCAAAAACAGAATATTCAAGGATATAATCTTTCAATGTAGGGTAATAACTGTTTGATCCAAGGATAAATCTGACTGCCATTCTGGGGTCAAGAAGGAATTTTTTTCCTAGTTTGTTGCAAAATTGTGCTTCAAACTGTTTTTTTTTCTTTTGGATCAACAGCAAAAAACAAATGTGAGGAAGGCTGAACTTGATGGACGCAAGTCTCTTTTCAGCTATGTAACTATGTAACATAGGGACTGATGGAGTTGCAGCTCCAGGCCCATGCCCATGGAATAGGCCCATTGATTTTAAGAAAGGGAAAAGTATTTTTTTAAAACACTGATCTTAGGGCTGCCTGGCCGGTATTTCTCCGGTATTTGAGGCTGCCTAGCCTCTGCTTCTATTGCAGTAATACCGGCAAAACAAATGTCAGTCTCAGTATAAATAGAGATTCTTCTGCAATACCAGTGCCGGCCAGTAGGGGTTGCTGTGTGTGTGGAGAGAGGCAGGGATAGGAAGTTACAACATCTCCCTCCCTGCCTCTCTCTACTCACTGATCCGCGGAGGAGCAGCTCTGCCACAGAGTCCAGACACAGTGGCCCCATGTCTCCCAGTGGCCCCTAGTATCTCAGTATCCCAATGTCTCTCAGTGGCCCCTAGTATCCTAGTGACATGGGGACACTGGGAGACATGGTAATACAAACACTGGGGGACACTGGGCGACATGGGGGCACTGGGCGACATGGGGATACATGGGGACACTGGGTGACTTTGAGACCTCGGAAACATGGGGCATTCCCAGTATCCCCATGTCTCCCAGTGTCTCAGTCTCCCCTAGTATAAAATAAAAAAATGTCAGGCACTCACTGTGATAGATTTAAAGGGACACTCCAGGCACCCTGCCTACTCCCACTACCCTTAACCCTGCAACTGTAAATATTGCAGTTTTCATAATAATTACATTGCAGGGTTAACTCCTCCTCTGGTTGCTGTCTGCTAGGCAGCCACTAGAGGGCACTTCCTGGTCTATAGATTTTCTGTGCTATAGCGTCGCTGGATGTTTCACGCTATGTGAGGACATCCAGCATCGCTAAAATCCCCATAGGAAAGCATTGAAAGCATTAGGTCTCATCCCGCCGGTGGCTGCGCATGCACAATCGGTCTCCCCCGCCGAGTGTGTGCCCAACCTAAACCACCACCGAGGGACATCGTCGGTGGTCTCCGGCAAGTCACTGAAGGGGTTTTCACCCCTTCAGCAACATGGGATGGGGGGTGCAAGGGAGAGGGTACCTGCAGTGCCAGGAAAATGATTTGTTTTCCTGGCACTGGAGTGTCCCTTTAAGCAGGTTTATTGGACACCGCAACGTTTCGACCTGTACCCAGGTCATGTCAAGTCTCCAGTGTCCCCTATGTATCATAGTGTCTCCTATGTATCACAGTGTCACAGTGTCCCTGGTGTCTCTCAGTGTCCATAGTGTCTCAGTGCCCATAGTGTCTCAGTGCCCCCTAGTCTCCCAGAGTCCCATAGTCTCCCAGAGTTCCCAAGTGTCTCAGTGTCCCCTAGTATAAAAAAAATCTCAGGCACTTACTGTGATTAGATTTAAGCAAGTTTATTGGACACTGCAACATTTCAACCTGTACCCAGATATTTATCAAGTCTCCAGTGTCCCCTATGTATCACAGTGTCTCCGTGCCCCGTGTCTTCCAGTGTCCCTGGTGTCTCTCAGTGTCTGTAGTGTCTTAGTGTCAGAGCCCCATGTCTCAGTCACCCAGTGTTTCCAGGTCTCTCAGTGTCCCCAGGTGTCTGTTTCCCAATGTCTCATAGTGTCCCAATGTATAGTGACATGGGGACACTGGGGGAGACATGGGAACACTGGGCGACTTTGAGACATGAGGGGACACTGGGAGACATGGGGCACTGAGACACTGTGATACACAGGGGACACTGGAGACCTGGAAACACACTAGGGGGCACTGAGACACAGGGATACTGGAAGACTATGGAAATACTGGAAGACATAGGGACACTGAGACTCTGGGCAACATGGGTACACTGAGACACTGGGAGATTGGGGGACTGGGAGACTAGGGGACACTGGGAGACATGGGGACACAGAGACTGGGAGACTAAGAGACACCGGGAGACATGGGGGCATTGTGATACATAGGGAGACCTGGGAGACTGAGACAGGGAGACAATGGGAGCAACCATAAATACAGTGGAATCAATCTGTAAGTAGTTTTGGTGATTTTACAGAATTATCTCTTTGTCACTCCTTGATGTCACACATACAAAATGTATTATGCAAATTAGTAAGGCATGAATTTTTTTTTTTTCAAGAAAGGTGGCAACCCTAACTACTCTTCACATACTCTTGCTTAATTATGGAAACTTAAGAGGGATGTAGAGGAACAAAAGTTGTGTGGACTAGCTGACAATGAAATTAGTTAAGGCAGGGGTTCCCAATTAATTTTTCCAGTGGAACCCTTTGACATAGTGTATCAACATCTTGGAACACCCTCCTCCCCACCCCGAAAAAAAAAATGGTGCCGTTTTTTGTATGTCTCGGCGTGTCTCAAGGTGTGTTTGTGCTTGTATGTGCCAGTGTGTGTATGTGTATATCTTACACACAGATACACACACACACTGCCACAAAGATACACACACCTTGCACACACTGTGTATCTTTGTGTGTGTGTGTATGTTTGTATGTGTCTGTGTATCAAGGTGTGTGTATCTGTGTTTGTATGTGCCAGTGTGTATGAATCTGAATCTGACATACAGATATACACACAATGGCAAATAGTGGCACACAGATACACACACTGACACAGATACACACACCTTGACACACAGTGTCTATCTGTGTGTCAAGGTGTGTGCATTTATGTTTCAAAGTTTGTGTATCTGTGTTTGTATGTGCCGGTGTGTCAAGGTGTGTATATCTGTGTTTATATGTGCCAGTGTGTGTATCTCTGTGTCAGTGTGTGTGTGTGTGTGTGTATGTATATGTATCTGACACACACACACAATTAGATACAAACAGTGACACATACATAAACCTTGATACACTCAGAGACACATACTGTCAGGTTTCAAAACTGACATGTAAGACTTTTTCGTTTATTACTTGCCCTTTAAGTGAACTTCATGATTTTCTCCTCTAGTGGCCTCCCTAGCCACTAATCTATTCACTCATTTTAATAACTTCACCGGGATTAACTAATGAGGAGGCTTGATAAGTCTACTCCCAGCACACTACAGGGCCTTGACATTGTAGTCTATGCTCTGATAAAGATGAAGTCTATGCTCTGATAAAGAATCTCTGTTCCTGGTAATATCCTGTATTTTATCTACATGATTTCATTCTGTAGAGAACTTACCTGCAATGCCTCATCCTGTACTCATCTGCATTTCCTCATACTGAAAGGCACTAACCTGCATTACTTCATCCTGAACTTGCCTGAAATACTTTCCTTATCAGCTTCAAAGTATCCTGTTTGTGGCAGACTGCCCTTTATTCTTTATTTCAGTAAATTTGTTATGTCTAATACTACAAATAAAGTTTTAACCAATAACCCTTGCATTCGTCTCCTCTCTGACCTGTTCAGGAGCATGACACATACTCTTTGACATACACAAATACACTCTCAGTGACAAACACACATACAATTTTTTTCTTCACATTTTACTTCACACCCAGCCTCCCTATCTTTAGGAGTGCTGACATGTGGTCCAGTGGGGCTGCTGGGCGGCTGGCGAGCGGTCCCTGAAGTCCAGTGGGGCTGCTGAGCGGCTGGCGTGTGGGTGTCAAGGAAGCAGTGATCTCCCTGCTCAGCTCCCTTGCATGCCTCTTAGTGATGCCGGAGTTATGTCATATTCCGGCTGCAGCATCACTGCTGTGCGAACAAGGAAGTTGAGCAGGGAGATCACTGCTCACTGCTCCCACGCTGCCCGTGGCCATTTTATTTTTTACACTTTGGGCGAAACTCCAATTGGGAAACGCTAAGTTAAGCTAATGCTGACTTTGGTCTCTCTAATACATGTTCCCTTTTTCTACACTCATCCCAGACTATATACTAGGTGCTTCTGCCGGCTAGTAAGAAAGTAAGGAGATAAGTGTACATGTGACTGCAAGGGGACAGTCCTTAGAAAGAGTGGAGCGAGTGCATCATTAGACGCATTTATGCCAAGCTCAGGGTGCTGTCTGGATAGTATGCCCTTAGTTGGCCAGCCTGCATGATTGGCAGATAGCTTGACATGCATTCATGCCAGGCTGTCCTTCAAATTCTTTGGGCAGACATGCCCCCTTTTTAAGTATGTTCACCCCTTTCGCCAATTCTGGTTACATGATTCGCGTCAGTGGCCCATCCTTTTACCCCGTCCATAGACTTACTGCTTCACTGGACACTGTTGTTAGGGGGTATGGATTTACTTGAAAGATTAAATCGTGAGCTTAGCATAGAGTATGTGTTTTCTCATAGCTGCATCCAATGAGTTTCCCTCCAGCACCATCTCCATCAGATACATGACGCTTTGGAGGTAGGACTGTTTTAGTGTTTTTGGTTGATAAGATTTTATAATTAGGCCCATCATAATTGTCAGCACCAGGCCCACTGGGCTCTTAATCTGGCCCTTTTTTTATAGGCTGGTCTGAGGTTCAAATGGACCAAATTGACACCAAAATGAAATTATATTGATGTAATCAGTGACCTTTGACCTCATCTGAGATCATCAAGTGAGCTTAATAATTTTGCATCATTATAAGTAGCAACTTCAATTTTGGTTGCTTTACATCTGTATGCAATTCATCACAACTAGTAAAATACTGCCCATTGGAGTGGTCTGGGTGCCAACTCCCACCACCCTTAACCCTGCAAGGTAATTATTTCAGTTTTTATAAACTGCAATAATTACCTTGCAGGGTTAAGTCCTCCTCTAGTGGATGTATACCAGACAGACACTAGAGGGACTTCTGTCTTCCTAGAACACGAAAAGCGTCGCCGGAATCCCCATAGGAAAGCATTGCATTAGGTCTCCACCGCCGTCTGAAGTCGATGGGGGAGGAGCGTGGGCGAAGCCTGACCCAGCACCGAGGGACATCGGTGCTGGATTCAGGTAAGTCACTGGAGAGGTTTTAATCCCTTCAGCAACATGGGATGGGGGGTGGGAGGAAGAGGGGCACTGCAGGGTCCTGAAGTTCTAGGAAAACTGATGTTTTCCTGGCAATGGAAAGTCCTTTTAAAGTTAGAAATATTTTACTTTTGGCAAAAACACAGAATTTTAAATAACTATTATTTAATCACAAATAGCTTTACACCCACTACATGCCTTGTATGCATGTTACATTTATTACTGGTGTTATTTTTGTATCTCAAGGTTTATAAAGCCTTATATATCCATGTAAACAAATAATTTAGGTTCTGTTATCTATCATGATATATTGGACAGAGACCAGGTGACAACATGTCTAAACTTTCCAGTCGAGGGACTGGGTTTGTCAGCATCTGTTTTTTTTCATTATATGAACCTTTGATGCCAAAAGACTCTAATATATGTCAAATCTAATCTGGAAGGAATTCCTTACACTACACACTGGGAATTAATGTTCCCAGTTCTTTTCTCTTCACATCTGTGTTTTTCGAAGATAACAGTTGTTTACTATTATTTGGCAAATGGGAAGTAGATTTAAAAGAGTAGTTTGACATGGTTTTGTCATGTAGTTAGCCAGAGTGAAACACAAATTTATTTTTGCTGATTATTTAGACTGTACATTTGTATTTTTGTCATTATTATTTTGAGGTACATTTATGCATCCACTGCATATACTGACAGTATACATACCAGTATGCCTGCTTGTCTTGTTTTTTTATTTTATTTTTTTGCTTCCAGGGGCGAGGGGGGACGGGGGTGGCTGTTTGAATCAGGGCCTAATCCTCTTTTTTGTAAACATATTTAGCTATGATGTAAGAACATGATTTTTGAGTGGCTGGATGCAAAATGTATTTTTAAACAACACTCTAATTATGTTTTTCCTTTGAACCCTTTGACATAGTGTGCTATGGTCCAAAAAATGTTTGCACCATAGCACAAAAATTTTAATTAGCAGAGCGTAATGTTTTCTTCTTTGGCAAATTTAGTTTTTTGGTATATACAGTAATAGATAGATAGATAGATGTCAGTATGTGAAAAAGTGCTGCGTGCGTTCCACTGCTCTCTCCTTTTGCATTCCACTACAACTCAATAATTTTGGTGGCAGATGCTGAATAGATCCTTACTAGTTTTGTGAGGTCAAACTCACTTCATCAGAGGACATCTGTCTTCATCAGAAGACATCTATCTTTCTCCGGCCGGAGTGAAAGACTGTGACAGCCACTAACAGCCTCTCAGTACAGCATTCTCATGATACACTCGGTTTTAAGCTACAAATTGTGAGTGTTTTTAATTCATTTTACTTAATACATATATTTGAAACAGTGAGCACCACGGTTTTCCACCTTACTGTGTGTTTTTTAGAACGACAAAAGGATTGTGGTACTTAAGTCCAACATATATGATCTTTAAGTCATTTTTACATCTATTTTTTGTGCAATATTGGGATTAACACAGTTCAAGAAGGCACTGTCTGTACTAGAACAAATAGCCTGTTTTAAATCAGAGTAACCCCAGCTGTGATGGTAACCGGGGTTATCTGATACAGGTAGACATGATAAATCTTTGAAAATCTCTGAATATCTTTTAACATTGTATCAACTGCATCCTAGCTAACAATTTTTGTGTTAATATTCCAGAAAGACTGAAATGCCAATTATACTGGGACTAATATATTAAAACAATTTTGTTATACACAGACTGCTATTTTACTTTGATATTTCTTAAAGAGGTATTCCACACACCATGACTACTCCTGGCAATCTATTAGATTTTATCTACTAACACTCTTTTTTTCATTAAGGTTTCGAGGCTGACATTTTGAAACTCGAACCTTCATCTCCCTCCACAGATTTTCTATAGGATTAAGGTCTGGAGACTGGCTAGGACACTCCAGGACCTTAATGTGCTTCTTCCTGAGCCACTCCTTTGTCGCCTTGGCTGTATCTTTTGGGTCATTGTAATGCTGGAATACCCAGCCACAACCTATTTTGAATGCCCTGGCTGAAGGAAGGAGGTTCTCACCATCCATTGTCCCTCTGAAGCGGTGCAGTTGTCTTGTCCCCTTAGCAGAAAAACACCCCCAATGCATAATGTTTCCACTTCCATGTTTGATGGTGGGGATGGTGTTCTTGGGGTCATAGGCAGCATTGCTCCTCCTCTAAACATGACGAGTTGAGCTGATGTCAAAGAGCTCGATTTTGGTCTCATCTGACCACAAAACTTTCACCCAGCTCTCCTCTGAATCATTCAGATGTTCATTGGCAAACTTCAGATGGGCCTGTGCATGTGCTTTCTTGAGCAGGGGGACCTTGCGGGTGCTGCAGGATTTCAGTCCTTCACGGCGTAGTGTGTTACCAATTGTTTTCTTGGTGACTATGGTCCCAGCTGCCTTGAGATCATTAACAAGATCCTTCCAAATAGTTTTGGGCTGATTCCTCACCATCACCAGACTGAGCGAGACTGACAGTTACTTTGTGTTTCTTCCATTTGCGAATAATCGCACCAACTGTTGTCACCTTCTCACCAAGCTACTTGGCGATGATATTGTAGCCCATTGGCCATGGTGGAGAGTTTGGAATCTGATTGATTGATTGATTCTGTGAACAGGTGTCTTTTATACAGGTAATGAGCTGAGATTAGGATCACTCCCTTTAAGAGGGAGCTCATTTAATCTCAGCTCATTGCCTGTATAAAAGACACTTGGGAGCCAGATATCTTGCTGATGATAGGGGATGAAATATGTATTTTACTCATTGACATGCAAATCAATTTATAACTTTTTTGATGTGTTTTTCTGGATTTTTATTTGCTTGTTATTCAGCCTCTCACTGTTAAAATACACTTACCATTAAAATTATAGATTGTCCACTGACAAAGAAATGATCAATCGTTCAATATCAGCAAGGGATCAAATACTTGCAGATTGTAAAAGTTGGGAGGTGCAGTTATATAATAAATTATATACTTTTTGTGTTTTAATTCAGGGGTGTGTTTGGATATAATGCTTGCATGTGTGTGCAGTAGTGTTTCTGGATGCAGTGTCGGATTTTAAAAGTGGATGTACATTAGTGTGTGGTATTGCTGTTTGAGTGAAGTGTGTGTTTCAGTGTTTGTATATAATTTTGGAGTTGGAATTCAAGAGTGTCTTTGTACATCATGTTTGTGTTTGCAGGGATGTGTTTGCATGTTATGTTCGTGTTTGATTGCAGGGATGTATGCTCATAATCTGTCACATACCCTGTGCTCTGTTGGCATAAAAAAATGAATCCATTGTCCGGTTGAACTTATGTGTAATTCCTTACATACACATACACACCTCCCTGGGGATCACGTGGCCTGTATTTCTACCTTTTGTGGAGTGAGACCTTTTAATGTATTTTTATACTTTTATTGTTGTTCAACACAGTTTAGTTATAGTTTGTGCCCTAAGATTTTGCTCTAAAGGAATATCTGTGCACCATAACTACTACAATGGATAGTTGTTAAAGTTCCATGAGTGAACTGTCCCCCCTCCCCAAATAAGTAGCCAAAACATTTAGTTTGACTTCTTAGCTGGGGTCTGCAGAGCACTGCTCCCTGCCTCCCCTCCTCTCTGAGTTAATGGACCACTATAGGCACCCAGACCACTTCAGCTTAATGAAGTGGTCTGGGTGCCAGGTCCAGCTAGGTTTAACCCTTTTTGCTGTAAACATAGCATTTTCGGAGAAACTGCTATGTTTACCTATGGGTTAATCCAGCCTCTAGTGGCTGTCTCATTGACAGCCACTAGAGGCGCTTCCGCGCTTCTCACTGTGTTTTTCACAGTGAGAAGACGCCAGCGTCCATAGCAAAGTATTGAGAATGCTTTCCTATGGACTGGCTGAATGCGTGCGCGGCTCTTGGAGGAGGAGAGATCCCCGCGCCGAGGGAGCTCGGTGGGGGAAAAAGGTAAGGGATTAACCCCTTCCACCCTCTAGAGCCCAGCGGGAGGGGGACCCAGAGGGTGGGGGGGGGACCTAGAGACCCTGTAGTGCCAGGAAAACAAGTATGTTTTCCTGGCACTATAGTGGTCCTTTAAGCTCGGAGGTGCAGAGCTTGGCACATTGGCTATACGCAATCACTGCAGGACTTAGCTTGGGAGAGCTAGAAGTCATGCCTGAGCAAGAGCTTTTGACGCTTGTGAAGGCTGAGAGTAGGCTTGGAGTAACAACCAGTAAACAATCCAACTATAACTTAAGGGTTTTATTACTTTGGGGGAAGGGGGCACAAGGGCATGGTGCTTTGAGTGTTCCTTTAATTACACTTATGAAAACCATGTTCCCCAAGCATTGCATGATTACTAGAACATTAGCAAGTGAGCAAGTTAAGCAGAAAACAATCATTGTGCATTTTGAACTCTTGTTACCTTTGTCAATAAATAATCTGCATGGCATAATTACTATATTGATATCTTATCATGTATTCTAATGCTGTTTACTGCAGTTCATAAACAAGAGGTGAAAGGTTTCTTTTTCAGTAATTCCAAGTACAGAAGGAAAAGATTTGTCATACTTAGCAGCAACTTCCAATTATACTGATATAAAAAAGCTGTGATGCAACAAACTTCAACTGCAAGAAACATAACTGACACAGAAATTCATATGTAGAAAAAGGTCCTGTAACCCTATAACAAGTTTACAATGTTGCGTAAATGACAGCTCTACCACTACCATAAAATGTTCTGCTGGGGTATGCAGTCTCGGTAGTCTTCTCCTCAATCCTTCCTTTAGGATGCTATTCCACTTGGCAAAAAAAAAAATAATTTTAAAAATCCCTGCCTCCACTCCCTCTTCCATGTCATCTACTTATAAAAAAAAACTATTCCGATATGTTGCAAATATTTCTTTTGAGGAGATTAAAGCAGTTATCTCCTTAATTAAAGGTGGGAAAACACCAGGTCCTGATGAGTTTAGATATTTTTGGAACTTCTCCTACCACATATGCAGGAGGTTTTTAATCTCACCTGTCAGACCAGCAACCTCCATTCAGACTTGAAATTTGCAAATATTATAATCCCCAAAAAGTATAAACATCCATCCACATATCATTGCTTAATGTAGATACAAAGATCCTGGCAAATATATTGGCAATGTGTATCTCTCAGCTTCTCCCTACTTTGATCCATGCAGATCAGGTTGACTTCATCTCATGGAGACAATTGTTCAAGAATACCAGGCGAGTTGTAGACTCGGCATGGCTTGTTGAAGCAGAGGAAACACCTTCCGTGCTCTTTTCACAGGATACCAAAAAGGCATTCAACAGGGTTATGTGGCCCTACCTGTTTCAACTACTTCATTTCTGGGGCTTTCCAGTCTCTTTAATCACAACAATTCATGCTCTATATTAATATGGGCACAAAAACAACTTCCTGGATCCAGTGGCGGATCCAGAGCCTGATCTCGGGAGGGGCACTTGTAGATTATTTAAAGAAATAATCCAGACACAATAACCACTACAGCTCAGTGTAGTGGTTATGGTGTCAATAGTGCCGGGACCCCCTCCCACAGTAAGTAGTCAAACCGTTTAAGAACAGTTTGACAACTTACCTGAGATCTGCTGGGAAATGGGGCTGTAGTAGGGCATAGGAGCAGTGGTGTGTGTGAGTGGTGCAATGTGTAAGGGGTGCAGTGTGTATGTGAAGGGTGGCAGTGTATGTCAGGGATGCAATGTATGTGTGGGACAGTATGTGTGTGTAACAGTTGCAGTGTGTGTGTATGGGGGGCAGTGTGTGTGTATGGGGGGGCAGTTTGTGTGTATGGGGGGCAGTTGTGTGTATGGGGGGCAGTGGTGTGTATGGGGGCAGTTTGTGTGTATGGGGGGCAGTTTGTGTAAGTGGGGGGCAGTGTGTGTGTATGGGGGGCAGTTGTGTGTATGGGGGGCAGTTTGTGTGAATGGGGGGCAGTTTGTGTGCAGTATTGGGGGCAATGTATGTGTGTGTGGCTTTTTTTTTATAATATATATATTTTTTTATTTAATTCGAATTTAATTTTTTTATTTAATTATTTATCCGAAATATGTCCCCCCTCCCTTCTTACCTTTATTGAGGAGGAGGGGGGACATATTTCGTTCCCTGGTGGACGGTGGGGGATTCCCTGTGGGTCCCAGTGGGGACAGTGAACTCTAGCCCGCACTCCCGGGCTAGAGTTCACTCTCGCAAGATTTGGAGCTTCAAATTTCACGAGAGGAGGACCCGGAGGAGCTGCAGACTGAGCTCCGGGTCCTCTCTCTCACTCCCTCCCTCCCCTGCCGGTTCTCAGCACTGTGCCTGCCATGCTGGCAGGGGAGGGAGAGGGAGACCGGCGGATTTCTCGGGGGGGGGCAATTGCCCCGTTGCCCCCCCCTGGATCCGCCACTGCCTGGATCACAGGCAGTTCCTTTTGGGAATTTTAATGGCACTCGACAATGGTGCCTTCTTTCTCCAATTCTATCTTCCCTCTCATTAGAACCTATTCATTGTATAACAGAAGATAGTGCTATCCAGGGTGTTACGATTGGTGCAGAGCTTAAGGTTGCGGCTTATGCAGACATTGGTTTATTATCTATTGTTAATCCCTCTCAGTCACTTCCTCGCTTATTTCACCTTATTTTCGGTTCATCTTTTCAATACCTGGGGATAAGATTGGCTCTTCCTACGCAAATTTATTTTCAGATAATTATGCACCTTTTATTATCCCTCTCTTCATACCTCAAAACAGAATGCACCTGTCATGGTTGATTATATATTTCCTACCTGTTCTTTGTTAAATTTCGTATTTATTGTGTATTAATATTGTTTTTGTATTTTATTGTACCCTAATGTAACAATGCAATGATTTGTGGACCCAAGACATACTTAAAAACAAGAGAAATCTCAATGTATCTTTCCTGGTAAAATATTTTATGAATAAATAAATAAATAATAACACTTTAAAAAAAGACCTGGAGGGATGGATTGATAAGCCTATTTTGTGGATTGGCAGAATTCATTGTATTAAAATGAATATTTAACTCTTGTTTTTATTACAGACTCTGCCTCTTAAGATCACCAAAGGTGATTTAGATGGCTTGCAGAGGGCTATAAATGTGGCAAAATAAGCACCATAGGTTGGCCAATAACATTTTATATAGACCTAGGAATAGAGGAGAATTAGGCCTTCCCAGCTTGCTTTTATACTACTACGTAGCACAATTGTCACAAATAGTGATGTGGCATACCCATCCTACTGAACATCGCTGGTAGAGATAGAATCATACCTGTTGAGGTCAGACTCATTATCACTTAATATTGGGCTTGATAAACCTTCTAGGATATCATTAGGAACATTGTGCCATTTCAAACTCATTATATATCTCGGAAAAGCTGAATTTTTTTTTTCAAAATAGGTAGTTTACCCTGGCATAAGATTGCATGATTTTGAAAATTTAGAGAGGGTGGGTATCCTTATATCATTTATGGCCAGGTGGAAAGATGGTCACTTTTGAGGTTTTAAATACGAGGATACATTTCATAGGGGGATACATTCAGATTAGACACTTTGCTCAGACACCAGCTATTAGGTGCGCAGCAGAGACATTATTTAAATTTTTTCAACAACTATATATTACAGGAACATGTAAGAAAGGCCTAAAGCCAGCTTTATATTCACTCTATGTCAAGAAGCCTCAATGTGGGTTGCTTTAAGGTATGTGTACCAATCAGACTTGGGAGAAGTATCAGAGAAAGGAATTTGAACAGCTATCTGGAAAACACCATCTAAAACATCAGTATGTGTTCTTTCACAGAAGCAGTTGTTTAATATTTTGTTTGGATGGCACGTAACCCCTGTTTTTATGTACAGATCTTTGTTGCCGATTATGCGGCCTTAGGGGCACATACTTAATTATGTGTCCTATATCATTTTTTTTTTAAATATTAAAATATCTTATTTTTTACATTTTCTCCATTTCTCCTCTAGACCTGTAAAGGAAGTGTTCAAGCATACACAGAAACTATTGTATCTCATAACATGTATCTCATAACATTAGCAGCTAGTAGAGTTATTGGCTGGTTGGCTGAAAACTGATATTCCTCTAATAAGAGAAGTCATCTTAAAAATTGAGGAAAACTTATGGGTAAACTGACTTCGAAAGTCAGACATTCAGCCACATCCTTTACCAAAGTTTGGAATCCTTGCCAGGAATTTATAACCAACAAAAACAGGAATGGAAACCACAATGCGCTTTTAAGCTTGTGGCCAATCTGAAATACCATAAAATAAACTGTATGTATTGTATATTATATTAGGCCTAAACTTAGAATTGATAATGAATGTCTTAGTTTATGTTTACAAGGTATATTATTTGTCTTCTGATTTGATCACATAAATAAAGAATTAAGGGAAAAAAAATAAAAAAAATATCTATATACATATTTATTGTATTTATTTTTTTAACTACTAAGTCAAAATAAAAGGATGTCCTTGCATTCTTATTTTCTTGCCTTGTTTTCTTTAAATGGCCTTCTTTGCTCATAGTAAAGGCACAAGTGAGCGTCCTTTTGGGGACGAACTGAAGGAGAAGCTACTTAGTTTTTGCCTATTATTCTATGCATTTGCTGCAATGCCTGTAATTAGTCTTAGGGTCTCCCTAAGTTGAAAGGGCAGTCCAGATGTGGACCTTATACTCACTGAGTCTAGAGGGGCATCAGCTACACCTAACTGATAAGGCTAGAAGAAGACCACAACCATCATTTGGAGTCATTGTGTTTCTCATGCAGAAAACCTGCCAGCATATGCACAGCCTTCAGAATCAGTCTAACATGAAAATAGTATAGGTTCTCTCTGTAATTAATATTAATATGAACATTTTTATGGTGATAACCTATTCCACAATGCTTTATAATTATACATAGGTGAGATAAAATAACAAATACTGCCATTCAAAGTAATATTCACATTAACAAGAGACAAAGAGGGACCTGATCAAGTGAACTTACAAAAATATAGTTGGGAAGAATAGAGGAACACAAGAGGATGAATAAAGTGTCAGAGGAGTATGATATATTAAATGCCAGTGTGTAGTTATTCTTGTGGACTGCAGAAGCAAAAATAAGGTATGAAAAGATAGGATAATTGTTGTATAAACATTAGTTACCCAGGAATATTTGTAGATTAGAGACAGGGCCGCACTGGCACACTGGGATACTGGGAAATTTCCTAGTGGGCCGCAGCACCTGGGGGCTGCCCTGGACTCTTCCCTCCCCTATAGAGAGGGAGCACGCGCAGCCAGTTTCAGTATCATCAAAGCCACCAGCTGTGGCCTATTGTAATTATTGAATGCGGCCAGATCTAATGTAATGCATTGTGGCGCCTAGATCCTCCTCCTTGAATATTATTATGATTAGGGTCCCCACCAGCTGTCAGAGTCCTCCCATTGAATATTATTAGAAGCCCCACAGTCTGTATTCCAAGCCTATTGACCGCAGTACTCTTCTTCATGCCAGTAGCAGTTAGCCTAGGATCTCTGACTATTTAAAGGCTGAGGCTCAGATTAAAGACATAAAACCAATACAAAAAGATAGGCTAAGCACTAAAAGATGAACTATGAATATATAGAGAAACAGGCTGCAAATATTTAATATAATGGATACCCTCAGCCCCCTAGTGACAAAGAGAAAGCAAAACAGTATAAAACACAAATACAGGTTGCATCAAAAATAAAGTCCAATAGAACCACAAACGCTTGTGAATTTCCTTGCTAGAAGTCATCCGAACTTTCATCCGAAAATTGAAGGTATAAGTAATAAAACAGAGGATAACTGATTATAGTATAAATTATCTTGTGCTAGATGCAAAACACACAACAGAAATATATATGGTATAGCACTCACATTTAGTAGAGCTTCAAACCAGTTCTGAGTGAAACAGCATGCAGCAGTACAATCCCCACTGATGGATGTGTGGAATAATTGACACCAAGGATATAATGTAGAGTAGATCCTACAGGGAAATAATCCTCACCGTGGTGGTCATCTAAGGAATAAATGGTCAAACACATACAGGGCCGCCATCAGAAATTTTGGGGCCCCTAACACAGCTCAAGGTCTGGGCCCCCCTTCAAGCCTGCCTCCAAATCCCGCCCACAGGAATACAAACACACTAACAGATACAAATACTGAAACAGACATACACACATGCATAGGGAGATAATAACACACACACACATATACAAGCAGACATACATACTGACAAACATACATATACATACTGCATATTGATATATACATACATACCGACAGGCATACATACAAACAGACACACACAGGCATGCATACAGACACGCACTGGCATACATACACACACGCATACACACACGCATACACACACACATACACTGGCATACATGCACTGGCATACATGGGCATACATACACACATGCACTGGCATACACACACGCACTGGCATACACACACTGGCATACATACACACATACACTGGCATTCATACACTGGCATACATACATACACACATACACTGGCATCCACACACTGGCATACATACACACATACACTGGCTTTCATACACACATACACTGGCATACACACACTGGCATACACACACATACACCGGCATACACACTGGCATACACACTGGCATGCATACACACATACACTGACATACACACACTGGCATACACACTGGCATTCATACACTGGCATACACACACACATACACTGGCATTCATACACTGGCATACACACACATATCAAGTATCTCAAGTACACTGCAAGGGCCACACACATACACTGGCATACACACACTGGCATACACACACCAGCATACACACTGGCATACACACACACACATACACTGCATACACACACACACACTGGCATCCACACTGGCATTCACACACACAGGCATTCCCATGTACTCTGGCATTCATACACTGGCATACACACACATACACTGGCATACACACACATACACTGGCATTCATACACCAGCATACACACTGGCATACACACACACATACACTGGCATACACACACTGGCATACACACACCAGCATACACACTGGCATACACACACACACATACACTGGCATACACACACACACACTGGCATCCACACACTGGCATCCACACACACACAGGCATTCATACACTGGCATTCATACACTGGCATACACACACACATACACTGGCATTCATACACTGGCATACACACACATACACTGGCATACACACACATACACTGGCATTCATACACCAGCATACACACACACATACTCTGGTATCTATACACTGGTATTGGCCACACACACATACTCTGGCATTCATACACTGGCATACACACATACATACACTGGTATACACACATACATACACTGGCATACATTCACTGGCATAAATACACACATACACTGGCATACATGCACTGGCATACACGCATACACTGGCATACATACACACATGCACTGGCATACATGCACTGGCATACATGCACTGGCATACACACATACACTGGCATACACACATACATACACTGGTATACACACATACATACACTGGCATACATTCACTGGCATACACACATACACTGGCATTCATGCACTGGCATACACACTGGTATACATACACACATACACTGGCATACACACACTGGCATACATACACACATACACTGGCATACACACACCAGCATACACACTGGCATACATACACACATACACTGGCATACATACACTGGCATACATACACACATACACTTGCATACATACACTGGCATACATACACTGGCATACATACAAACACTGGCATACATACACACATACACTGGCATTCATACACCAGCATACACACTGGCATACATACACACATACACTGGCATACATACACTGGCATACATACACACACTGGCATACATACACACACTGGCATACATACACACATACACTGGCATTCATACACCAGCATACACACTGGCATACATACACACATACACTGGCATACATACATACACTTCATCCCCAGCCCCCCTCCTCTCTTCCTTACCATTTCGTTGCAGGAGGGGGGCTGGGGATGATGGGCATCGGCTGCCTCTCATCAGGCTGCGTCCTCCTTCCCGCGCGGAGTAAAGTGGGAGGAAGTGACCGGACATCACTTCCTCCCAGCAGCACTTGCTTCCGGCTGCATTTTTTTTTTTAAAGGGGCCCGGTCGCGCTATTACAGCGCTAAACGGGCCCCTGAAGATAATAGTGCCCATTGGGTGGCCCTAAATGATTGGGGCCACCTGATGGGCCCCATCAGCGTGTGGGCCCCGGTGCAGATGTACCGGCGGCAGTTCCGCTGATCCACGTGGGGCCCTGATCATGCCCTGATGGCGGCCCTGAACACATACATTAGGTCAATGACAAATATCAGAGGGCTTTTTCAAGTGTAAACAGCTTATATACCAGGCTCTTACTGTTTACACTTGAAAAAGCCCTTGTGGTTCTATTGGACTTTAAATTTGATGCAACCTATATGTGTGTTTTATCAGATTAAAGACATATTTTGGAGGTTTACAGAAAAAAAGAAAAGAAAATATAATCTTAATAAGACTTGGGTGTAAAGAAGGTGTACTCCCCTATCACCTTTACACAGAATTTGTAAGATACAGCACAGTATACACACCAAATATACTTATACATATCTAAGCAGCACAGGTTCAATATATCAGGCTCTATACAACCAGCATGTAGGGTGCTGGCTAAAACGATAGGATGCCAAAACAGGATACTGAATCAATTAAAAATATCCATTTATTTCATATAATTAAAAAAGGGATGACAAGTTAAAGTGCTTTTCATTTTAAACATTTCGCTGATACATGTGATTTAAAAACTGTTAGAGTTGCCTTCTTACCACTGTTTTTTTTAATGCTTTACACATTTTACAATAATAAAAGCCAAATTTCTGTTTTAAAAAGTTTTTATCACCTGTGCCTTTTTCTTGTCGAATATAACTATTTACCATATTATCCTTTAAGTTCCTCGCTCGTCTGTATTTGGTTTATCATCTATAATCCCTTGGAGATTAGTGTCTGTTGATATATTAATATTTATTTAAAATATGTTTTATTTGTTTGGCGTTTTCATTCAAATTTTAAATTATAGGGATATTCTAATCTTTTGTGGAGTGCGAATTCCTAGCTATAGTTTTATATTGTAACACATCCTTTTAAGCCATAGATTTGACTTCAAGTCTCTGTTTAAAACTTCCAAATCATATTTCTTATCTCTAGAAAAATTGGGTTAAAATATTGGTCTGTACATCAAATTCCTGTGAATCACTACAATTCCTTAAAATTCTCATAAGTTGTCCTTTTGGAATATACTGCATACTGGAGCACATGGGAAACATTCAGAGGGGGTTCTCAAAACATAGTATGTCAGCACATTTTTTTTGGATGAACATAACAGTGACCCCTCTCTCTTGGGTTTTATGGCCTTTTTCAAAAAGAATGTCAATTGGATGGGGGAGGACAATTTTAAGGAACTCAACAAAATTGAAAGTCGATGGATTTTCAATCTGGGTACTTTGTCCCGTAGGGGACTCAATGTAGATTTTGAGTTTATTAATTTTCTTTTTATTTGACTTATCCAAGATATTATCCTTATCCTCCCCCCTCCTATTATTATTATTATTGCCATGTATATAGCGCCAACAGATTCTGTAGCGCTTTACAATATTATGAGAGGTGTATTTAACTATAAATAGGACAATTACAAGAAAACTTACAGGAACGATAGGTTGAAGAGGACCCTGCTCAACCGAGCTTGCATTCTATAGTTGATAGGTAACAGGTTAAATTACTCTAAAAAATTATGTTATCTTTATAACCTTTATCTATATGATTCCTATTAATGGTCTCCCCATTAACTGTGTAATGTTTACCTATAGTCTGAGTCTGGCTGGCCAGTAAATTGGCTTTTCTTTTCCTCCTCTCAGTAAGATGGGTAGACCAACATTAGGAAACATTTCCACAATGCAATTTCTGCTGAGAACAATACTGTAATTTGCAAATACTATGACAAGAAATACTATTTCCCAAATGCTCCAAGGATGACAAAACACATCCTTGAATGCCAGAAGTGTCCTAAAGACATTAAGAAATACTTTATGGAATTAAACGATTAAGGCCATAGCAATGAAAGTGCAAGTAGCTTTTTCCTCCAAAGTTCTTATGCCAGTTAAAGGACAACTCCAATGTTAAACCTTCAATATAAAGATTAAATATTGAGGTGGTCTTTCCACCTCCACAATGCCATGTGGCCACATCCTACCGGCACAAATAATGCCAGTTACTTACCTTTTTATTTGCAATTTGTGTCAACGTGCAAATCTGATATGATTTTTCCCCTTTTTTATGTATTATATGTGTAGGCACTTTTATACATTATATATGCATACAGTAGGTTCTTTTTATTATATAGTTTTCATATCTCTATTATATTAAAACACAATTCTTTTATTGGTCTTTTTTATATTGCAGGATCTTTTTATATTATAGGATCTTTTCTTCATTACAGGATATTCCTTAGATTGTTTTTTTTTTTCTATTGTGTGATTTTTGTTTTATAGTATGCTGATATTTTCCTTCTCCTTTCTATATACCTGATATATGTTTTGTATGAGGGCATCTTTGCCCATAACCACAATGGAGATATGCACAATAAAGAAATTGAGATACCGGCGAAATACTGCAAGAGACGTATTGACGTCATACCAGAAATGACGCCATATCGTCAATAGGGAAATGGATGCAAGCTTGAAGATTTAAATCAAACCAAGACAGGATATATAAACAGATCGAGCAGAGTCATGGACAAGGAGGGAGGGAGAGAGAGGGAGAGAGAGAGAGAGGGAGAGAGCGCGAGAGGGAAAGAGAGGGAGAGAGAGCGAGAGGGAAAGAGAGGGAGAGAAAGGGAGAGAGAGAGAGAGGGAGAGAGAGAGGGAGAGAGAGAGAAGGAGAGGGAGAGGGAGAGAGAGAGTTTTTTATTGGGATTACTTTGTTGGATGAGGCAATATAGATTATCAAAAACAAATAGAAATATTTAGTAAAAAACTATTTTTGCATAAGGTCATCTTTATAAAAACACTTCTTTTTAATTATTAAGTAGTTGACCTAATGTTTAGTTGCAGATAGAAATTATATAAACCTTTTAATGGTTTGTTATTTTCCCACCGTTTGTGCTAATGGATGGCCCTTTGTAATCTGTCTCCAGTTCATAACATCTGGATACGAGCTTAACCCTGTTCCCTAAAGAAGTTGGATTCTCAAGAATCTGCCCGTTCTCTGTGATCTTAGAGAAATGTGATTTCACATTTGTTTATACGAATGACTTAGTGTGTGTCTGAGGGACAAACTGAGAGGAAGAGGGATTTATTTTTATTATAGTGATTGCTAGACTTGTGCACAGTGAAAATATCTGATTCAGCCAAATCTATTTGTCTGAAAAATACAACAAGTTGTGTCCGTTGATTCAGGATTCCTCCATGTGTTTCAGCATATATAATCATACAATAGTTTGGGGAAAAGGATTTGGATGAACCAAAAGGTCTGAAATTGGCCAAACAGTGCACTAGGTACATTGCTAGGTACATTTCCCACCATTTAGTTCACAGATAAAGTGATAAAAAATAACGGATAGACAGGGGAAAAGGTAAAAAGAAACAACAACAAAAAAAAAACACAGAACCTCATACATTTAATAACTATTTAATTTATAAATAGTAAATATATTCATATCTATATTTTACTGATCTCAATTTTCCCTTCTATTGGTCACTTCTCACTTGATCTGTGAATAAAATCAATATTTTCTCTGTCTAAGCATCAATTATCTTCTTTTCCCATCAGCCATCATTTTTTATGGAGTCACATGTGAAACTCCAAATCACAAAGCAAATGAGACATTGCCCATTCAGTTTAGTTCATATAGTGGTTCATAGTTATGGAATTGCTAATTGCCCAAAATTTGTACTGTGATTACCTACTGATTTTGCAAACGGTGGTTCAAACTTGGATTCCCTAATACACAGACCTGCATATTTTCCTGTCTTCTTGGTCATTATGTAGCAGAGTCAGGAAGTGAAGTTAGACTGCTTTAAGAAGTTGTTTCGTACACAGGTGAATCTGTAGATTTACTGTATTGAACAGGGGTAAAATAGGAAAAACCTTATCCTTACTTCATTTAAGTGGGGATGCCATTTGACCAATCAATTTGTTTTATGCTTGTATCATGCAAAGACTATTTTGCTGTGTTAACTTTTGGCACCCAGTTAAGGAAAATGCTCAATAAGGTTGTGCCACTCAAATAAGTTTTTACTTTTTATTTGAATTTTTGTATTATTTATGCCTTCTATGTATTGCATAGGTAGTACCCATTAGCTATCATGACATTGTAAAGATACATACCCTTGCACTATTAAACTCAACTGGTAGACCTGCCTCCTCAAGTGAACACAACATCAGTTGCACACCCCCAGACATGCTTGCTAGTGTTTCCAATGCCAGATGATGTAATCTGCATAATTTCTGATGTCCACTCCCATTTTGGGAGGTTACTATTAAAAAAATGCCACATGCCTATAAATACTTGAGCTTGCCATCTGTTCAGTGCCCTTGTGTTTTCGGTAGAGTTCCTTATTTTAAAATTTCCTGGTTCCCCAATTTGGCTTGTCCACACTCTTTGGCCTAACTTGCTTCTTGTTATTGTGTACCTCTGGAATCCTTGCTTTGTTCCTTAACTTGCTATTTTCCTACTATAAGTTTTGTGTTAAGCCCAGCTAGTCTAAGTTTAGGTAAAACGCTGCTATCCTTTGTTTCTCTATTTTGATAACATAGGTTTAAGCATTGCATGTAGGGTTGTTATACTTACATTGACAAGCATAATAGCATTGCTGTTAACACCCTATAATAAATATTTTCTATAATCCTTCCTATTAGAGGGTACGTGTTTCCACTGTGCATTGGCCAGTGATTGGTATATTTACTGTAAGCTTTGATCAATGTAAACTAATACTGAAAAACACAAAACCTAATTTCTAAAGTTGTAAGTTATTAAGATATTTCTAGCCTATAGTTTTCATTTATCTGGCAGTCGTTACTTTGCAAGCATGTAAATCCTCGTTTTCTGCACTAATACAGAGAAACTGCTGAATTAAAGGTCAATGGTAAATGGCAACAGCTGACTAGGAAGAGGATTTTGACATTGCAGCCTTTGCCCTTGGCTCTTTGCCATAAACTCATAACATAATAAAACTGAACATAAAAGATATGTGAAGTTCAATGAATGATGAGAATATTCATGGAACCTACGCAAATAGAGCAGAGATGTGTAATGTTCATATGTATGACCCTTGCATTAGCCTGCATTGAATAATAATAAACCATATCTAAAATCTAAAACGCTATAAATTGTTACACAGATAATTTAAGTAATGACATTTCCCAAAAACATACAAATAATGTGTATGTTTTATTACTATTTATAATATAATTAAAATTCATATACATGGCTGCCTTGCTAGGTCTTTATTAGGATACTATTTCTATTGGCCTTTAAATTTCTATAATTTAAACCCAACTGGTGACTGGTAATTTATAATTCCATTGAAAGTAACCACAGGACTAAAGATCAAAACATTTATAAATGACTCTAGACCCTGAAATGAACACTATAGGGTCACTAACACAAACATGTATTCCTGACCCTATAGTGTTTAATCCACCATATAGGCTGCTTACCCCCCCTTAGAAAAGGTAAAAACTCACCTTATTTCCAGTGCCGTGCAGGTCCGCTGATGCTGGCCCCTCCCCACCTCCTTGGTGACATCATCAGAATTTCAGATTTTTAGCCAGTCGAATGTTTTCCTCTAGAGAAAGCATTGTATTGGCTGAAATTGGCCAGGAGGCAGGATGGGGGCGGGGTCAAATGCTGTTTTAGCCAATCAGCACCTCCTCATAGAGATGCATTGAATCAATGATTATACTCATTAAGCTGTAGTTGTTCTGGTGACTATAGTGCCCCTTTAAGAATGCATTATTTTCCCCTAATACATACATGTGCATTATGTACATTTTACATTTGTTTGTTTTTTTGTTTTTTTTAAGGGCTGTGTTTAGGGTTAAGGATTAGATTCCTTGAATCTTAGTCATGTCCATGTACGCACATTCATGGTGGAGAATTGGCTGGCCAGCAGTTGCTATTTTCAGCTGTTTCCAATAATTGACTCCACTGTGGAAAACTATTTCCTTGGAAATGAGCTAGAAATACAGAAGTATGCTATTTCTGTGTCCTCTGTTCCTCTCATGCTGTATAAATATTAAGAGAGGGATGAATTATAATTGTGGAAGTTGCAAATAGCAGAGAATGTAACACACTAATACAGAGTAGGCAAGGACATTCATGGTGCCATAAAGCCCCAAGAATGTGGACTCTGCAATGCATTATGTCTATTTTGCACCTATTTATAATTTTATGTATATTTACCATACATCTTCAAGCCCAAGAAGAGATCTGACTGTCATCCTGGCGTGAAGAAGGAATTTCTTTCTAGTTTGTTGTAAAATAGGAAACTGCTTTAAACTGTGTATTTTGTCTTTTTTTGCATCAACAACAAAACCAGATGTGAGAAAGGCTGGACTTGATGGATGCATGTAACTAAGTAACTATGTATGAAACTAAGTTTCACTCTGCAACTTCTGAAACCCTGTTAAAGGACCACTATAGTGCCAGGAAAACAGTTGTTTTCCTGGCACTATAGAAACATAGAAACATAGAAACATAGAATGTGACGGCAGATAAGAACCATTCGGCCCATCTAGTCTGCCCAATTTTCTAAAAACTTTCATTAGTCCCTAGCCTTATCTTATAGTTAGGATAGCCTTATGCCTATCCCATGCATGCTTAAACTCCTTTACTGTGTTAACCTCTACCACTTCAGCTGGAAGGCTATTCCATGCATCCACTACCCTCTCAGTAAAGTAATGTTATGGGCAAATGCAAATATTACAAGTTTTAGAATGAAATGTTGTATTTCTTAAACTGTGTACTTTGTCTTTAAGAGATATTGCAAACTGACAAGGTGTTAGAAATGGAACATATTGTTTTTCATAACTGTTTCTTTAAGCAATAACCTCAGTGCATAATATGTTTGCGCCATTTTGTCCCAGACGAATTACAATAACAATAATGCATAAACAAGCTTCAAGGCTATTCTACGACACTTGCAGTACACAATATACTGTGGTAACCCCAAGTTAATGGAACTTCCCCAAATCCTGGAATCTCCCACGACTGTACACTTACGACTTAGTATAAACAACAGATAACCTATTCAGACTTTAAGATGCCATCTTGAACTAAGTCAGGAAAATTTCCATGACGTATACACCCTTTAGTTATGGCCTTGTATGTTTGCCAAATTAAGGGAGGTCCTAAATTGAATAAAGTAAAAGAAGTGTTACTTTTTCATATTTGAACTACAGTAACCTAAAATGGAGACACCTAAGGTATAAATAGGTGTACTTTTAAATGTTAAGACACAGAGGAGAGACTTGGAGACAGACGCTGCTCCATCTTAAAATGACAGAGAGGCTGACATGATGACATGTTCAGAAGGGTATGTTAACCTATTAATGATATTTGCAAGCATGTAATATAATCTTATAAACTCTGCTATAATGGATTTTATATTTTTATATAATAAATATCCAAAAGACAATCTTGCTTCCAAGACAATCCTTATTTTATATTGTATTCTCAATTATTTATATATGTTAAATAGAGGATCTCTTACACTATATAAAATTATGGCTAAGATATCTGTATGGTTAGCCCTACTAAGTTCTATGCTTTAAGACATTATAGTG